TGAATACAGTGAAAATAGGTGTGAAGTGGGTGAAAGAGGAAGTTATAATTTGCACTATATAGTCTCAGAAGAGAGAAACCCTATCAGAATAGCTCCGACTGCAGCTGAGTATATATGAGATCACTCTTACTCATCCGATTTTCCAGTGCACAGTTTAATTTTGTGACTGAGCCCGATCCTACAAAGCTGCTTTGTTGTTCAGATAATCTGATGTGTGCTAGTTGGTATATACCATTCAATTACAACTCAAATACTGCGTTTCTATTTAAATAACAAAAAGCCTAATCCAATAAATTTATAATGACCAGCTGAGGAAGCACCTCACATTTGGTTATTGACAATTTGTTTCCGAAACTTCAAGTGGAACCGAAGATGAAGTATCGAATCGTTAACGTTTGCGTTCAATCAGACGACTGTCTTATCTTGATTATTTGATTATTTGATTATAAGTAAGTAAGTAAGTTAGCAAGTCTACAAATGTGCTGTTAAGTGGGACCGTGCCGCGCTAAGTGGGTAATGGCTAACATAAATTAAAAAGCTGAATTTATGAAGACTTTGGAAATGTTTTTGAATCAAAAAGAAAAACTGTGATAGCTTCACAACATTGTAGAGGATTTGCGTTTCCTGCTTAATTACTATATGAAACGAACAGTTTATCAAAGTCCATTAAAACTGTTCTAGATGTGTATAAGAGACAGATTTCAATATTTCTTTAATTAATGGATCTGCTTGGTATGTCGAAAAGTTAAGAAACCTTAAAGAGGACTCGTTATATACAACAGAGAATAATCGCTAAAAGCTCTCCTACAGTTTCAGTTTCAGAAGTGTTTCGACAATTATAAGAARGCACTTTCATAAATGCATTGTATTGAATGGAGACTATTTTGAAGGCGAGAACTTAACCTACAGCCAAAAGATTGATTTCTTCTTAAAGAATTTTCGAGTCTTTGAATACAGTGAAAATAGRTGTGAAGTGGGTGAAAGAGGAAGTTATAATTTGCACTATATAGTCTCAGAAGAGAGAAACCCTATCAGAATAGCTC